AGGCCAGAGCCTGCAAAATTCATCCTCAGGGCCGAGTTTTGCGATGATCATCCACATGATAGACATTCTCGCAGAAACTCGGCCCTGAAAGACGTAATATCACAGTCTCTGGCCTCAGTAGAGGCCAGAGCCTCGCTTACATTACTCAGGGCCGGCTTTCTCAAATGCCGTCCTGATCTATGGCGGCAGGAGAGAAATCCGGCCCTGGGAAGCATGAAATACGAAGATCTGGCCTTATAAGAGGCCAGAATCTGCAAATACTCCCTTCTCTACAGATTATGATCCAATGTAACACAGAAAGCCTAGAAGGAAGCCCTTTCTCAAGGTTAAGACTTCCTTCCTGGCTTTCTGATACTGGATGGAGTGGAGTTTGGCTTCCATTGCAACTCCTTCCAGGAAGATCAAATGATTACACAAAAGTCATGGCAATTGTATTCTAACACTATAAATACAATTGCCATGGCCTACAATTGCGAGTGCCTGCTGCTTCAGCAGAGATTTGCAGCAGACACTCGCAATGTTAACCAAAATTCGTCTGAAAGTTAGAAGATGGGCTTTTTCTCAAGGTCAAAGTCCATTTCCTAACCTTCTTATATTATTTATTATTAAAATAACCATTTTGACAGATTATTATTTTTTATCCCGGCATCATCAGCTTGTCATTCTAAGCTTATCATTTTCAGCTTATACTTATAAATTCTAAAACAGTGATTATTGAATTCACGGAATTACACACTACATTAAGCAAATTATTATACTAATTTTTCAATAATTAAAAAATATCAATGATACTTAAGTGTCATCACATACAACACATTCTTATGATCATCATAATATATATTATAGAATATTGCATAATAATCCAAATTCAATTTCAATATTAAAGTGTACTATCCATTATCTCTTAACATCATAACATACTCAACGAGTACTGATCATATGCTATTGATCAAGCCTTTAAAACAAACTACATATAAGATTGCTTTAAATTGACCAAAAAATTGAATACTTGCTTTAAATTGACCGTTCAATTTAAAGTTCGTCCCAAAATACAAACTTCTCCAAAATGAAAAACTATACACTATTTTTTACATTTATCTATTTAAAATGTCAGTTTATTACTTGACAAAACACATATTTGGTAAATTTTTAAATTTGGTCAAAGCACCCAATGAGCTCATTTCGATTTTCTCCAAGGAGAAGAGAGAAACTAATCAATTTTGAATATGTGGGGAAGACAGACTAATTCAATTTCTCCATGAAGATTGAGAAATGGAAAAGCTTTGGAGACGGATATTGCATTCTCTTAAAATGTATAGGGTATTCTTATTGACTTGCAATTTAATTGTTTCACTGACAAAAATTTTCTTTTATTTAAGTATCTGAATGAAAGCGCCAGCAACACTCGGCGCAATGTAACCAAAATTCGTCGATGGAAAGTTAGAAGAATGCTGGCCTTTTCTATCAGGTCAAATCCATTTCCGTAACCTTCTTAATATTTTTAATATATTTAAAATAACCGATTTGACAGCTTTGCTAATTTTTCCCGGCAATCATCAGCTTGTACATTCTAGCCCTTAATAAATTTTCCAGGCTTCATACATTATAAATTCTAAAATCAGTGATTATATGAATTCAACGGCAAATAGACACCACATTAAGAAATTATAATTATCATACTGAACTTCTTTCTTACAAAATAAATTTAAAAAAGATCAATGAATACTTATAGAAAAATCACTGCCAAAAAAAACAAAGCACGTAGTCATCACCAGCGTAGATACACATTGCTTTGATGATCCGATCAATAGATAATATATTATATGAGAAATTATTTTGCAGCATAATAGCATCCTAAATTTCAATTGCAATATTTAAGTTTGATCTATTCCTTACGTCCATTATTCTTACGCTCATAACAGTACTCAACGGTTAGTACTGATCATTATGCTATTGATCACCAGCCTTTTAAAACAAAACTAAGTATAATAGAAAAATCTGCTTTAACTGAGCCAAAGAAGATTGAGATCACAGACTGCTTTAAATTGAACCGCTTCCAATTGTGAAAGTTACGTTCCCAAGACATTAACAACACTTCTCCAAATGAAAAAAACTATACACTTTTTTACAATTTGTTTATTTGAAACGCTGTCAGTTTAGCTATAATTACATTGCACGAAAAACGAGAATATATTATTGGGTAAATTTTTAATGTGGTCAGAAGCACCAATTCGAGAGCTCATTTCGATTTTCCTCAAGACCGTACTGATGAGCAAGTAGCTGAGTGAATAATATTCTCAATTACTTTGAAATAATGAATAGTGGCGGCAAGATGGACTTCGAGACACATAATCTTCGAGATCCTTCTACACGGATGTAACAAGATTCTAATGAGAAATTGCTGAGAAAATTGGGGAACGGATAATGTGCATTGCTGCTGTAAAAATGTACTTATTTAGGGTGGGGTGGTTGGGTGTGTCGTGGGGGTAGTAAACGAATGCAAAAGAGAAACTGGGCGCGGAATTTGCATTCTAAAAGTCAACTATTTTAGACCCTCATTTTGAACTATGAGCAACTTTAGATGTTCACTGACAAAATAGTAACAATTTTCTTATTATTTTTAAACACGTTTATGAAGAGAAAACAGTATTCACCTAGAATCAAATCTTGCAAAAGTCATGAATCAGTTAAGATTTATCTTCACAACCAAGATATATCAATTAATAGATGGCGGTTATTCATTTTTTATGATACTGTGGTGCTTGGTGTGGAAGTGAAGGTACCTTCAGATGATCCAGCTCAGATATAAGCAGCTATTTAACTACAACAAGCATAGTTATGCAGGAGGAAGGTTCAGGTACCAAACAGCATATGAAGAAACAATTATAAATGTGAAATTTTTTTTATTTTTAACCTCAGGACATTTTAGGTCAATTAAAACCAGCAAATTTGGAATAACATAATATAAAGCTGCCATGGAGGACGTGCTTTAAATTGGACCGAAAGAAATACCCTTAAATAAAAACTATGCCTAATGTGAAGTTTTTGTCAATATGTGGAGAAGAAAAATGGAAGAAAAAAGGAAGTTTACACATTATTGGTATTTCTTTATGGGCGATAATATTATGTTTTGGATAATAACATAATCACAAACAGCAAATGTACTTCATCATAACTATTGGACTAGGAAATTCGGAGTACGATATAATTTCAACATTTAGAAGGAAAAAAAAATGTTTAAAAAACTGAGTATTCATTTTGTTAGAAAAACCGATTCACGTTCAATAATATAGAAAAGTTTTTCGCTTTCTAATTTATTATACCGTCAATTCAGATATCTCAGCATTCATTAACTCATTATTCGTTTTGATACGTATTTTGAAGTCAAGCAGATTGGAATTACTGAAAACTGATAGTAATAGTGTACCTTCCGCTTTTTGTTCTTGATTTTTGTTCATTTTTTAAAATTATATGGCCAAAATATTTTACGGGAATATTCTTCTGTTTTATTGGAAATAAACGCTCGTGTGCCCAATTAAATGATTCGGTGAGGCATGTATTAAATATATACCAAGTCTATATCCATATTTATATTGTATATGAGCCAGAAATAACATAATTTATTTAGATACACTGGTCAATGTTATTTTTTTAAATAATACACTGCAACAAAATTAACTTACAACTAGGTATTAACATTAGAATTTTACTTCCATGTAGCGAGCATAATGTAATTCTTGATAATATTCATGAAAAGTTGTGGTGTGCAATGAGATCTCGAATATCATTGAATCAATTGCCATTCAAACATATTAACTATATTATCAAAAGCAGATTCATGACAGAATATTCATTCATTAAATCTGGTCTGATTTAAAAGAGAAAAGTATTTGTTCTATTGAAGGCCGGGGCTTAAATCAGACAATCCAGCAACTATTAACACACAGATATACTGCCAATGAAGTCACGTGCATATTGCAAGAATAACTATGTAACAGAACACGAATTTTCATTGTGTGACTTGTTGTTCCGAAGTATGACACAAGAAAGAATTAACTTATATGGACAATATCGCACAAAACATTCACGTTTTCATTTACCGAACAGGAATGTGGCGATAATCTTTCAGAGTACATGACTAAGTGGTAATCCATTTTCCACAATGAGGATCGTAGTTTTCGATTGCTCTTAAGGAAAGATGAATGTTGAAACAGCCGTAATGAAAGAGGTTACAGTTTTTAATAATCGTCTTACCACAGATGCTGCTTTTCTCATATATATGTTAATCAAGCAAGTTCGAATCCTAGGAAACATTTAAACTTGAATGCTTTCCTCAACCGTAGTGAGCACAACTCGATGATAGTTATTTCTACTCACGAAACCACAAATACTGTAGTGAATGAAACTGCTTCCCTCATATCATAAATATCCAGCACAAACTTAAGGAAGTTTTTCTTTCGTGAAAAACGTCGGTACATTTTACTTTCTTCTTTGTCAAGTTCAAGTCTGAACTAAGGAAATTGTTGAGGAACTCAAACGAAAGAAGGACGATTAATGATAGACAATACTGCGTAGAAGGTTCTTTGTAAGTAACAGCTCGAGAAATTGAATGTACGAATTACAATTCTAAGAGACGTCGAAAACAGGAAGCTGTTTGTATCAGACTTACAAAGGATAACATATCTCAAAATGTGCGTGAGTATTATGAGTCGACAAATCGATCGGAGATTATCTGATGCCAACTGTGCAAAGAACGCAGAATATTTAACGCTGCTTTGTAATATGAATGCATTTATGCTTTTTATAAAAAATTTGCTTTTTATTTTTTTCAATTTTTAAATTGCAGTGGGAAAAACGAATATCGACAAAACTCAGGAAATTACACTAAATCAACTGCGAGTTGTGTGAGTGAGAGGCGAGAGATAAAGAAAGTACGATTTCACTGTGTGAAATTGGGTCATCGTACAACTATATTGTTTTCGAGAGAGAAAACTAATGAATTAAGAAAGAGAGTAAAGTGAGTGAAGGACATACGCACAGCAACTAAAACTGCAGAACTTGAGAAATCTACAGTTTGTAAATCGTGTGTGCGAGGTGTTGTGAGTGTCTAAAAGGTAGTACCTTGATGAGGCTGGCAAGAGGTGCGTGTGAATGTGTGGACAAGGAGTGTAACTTCGTGAGAGCAGGGTGGGAAGGGGCGATCTCATTATCATACATGTGTCAAATTTCGAAGGGACAACTCTTTAAGCATATAACAAAGCAAATCGATAAATTCCGAGATAGAAGTCAACAATCAATAAAAAGGTCTTCGAATCAATTTATGTCTACCTAAAAGAATGTAAATCCGAGTGACGAGCGCAAGCGCTGCAGAGAGTGTGTAACGTTACCACTGTCTCGAGACTTAGGCCGACGTACGCTTCGACCTGGGGGGGGGGTGTTGGTTAAGAAGGTTGTATGTGCTTTCGGCGGGCCGTGATGCGAATTCCATCCATTTTAGTAAAAACTGGTGGACAAGGACGAGAACCGGAGATTTGGTTTTAATATTTCGTGATATTCTATAATTTTCTTAATATCTGTGAGTGTGTGTGGTGGTCTCTGTGTATTTTATTAAATTGTGTGTGTAATTCTTTTACTTGTTACTTTCTGTAAACTATTGTGCAAAGAGAAGTGTTCAGTTTGGAAATATCTTTGTTAGTACAATAAGAGAATTTGGACATACGGCGTGTGAGAGAACGTGAAATGAAACGAGTGTGTGTTAAATCCTGCAAATCAGAGATACAATGAAAATTCTATGCAATCTTATTGCTGTTGTCGATTGTTTATTTGTGTGCTTTTAATGGAGTGTGAGCGGAGTGGTCCACATTAGAAATGGTATGCCTTTCGCCTTTTGTTTTTGTTTTCTCCTTCATTTAAAATATTGAAACAAATAAAGCAAAAGTTTTATATAAAAGAAAAGATTTAACAGCTTAAAATATTTGTTTTTTTTGCCGTTGGTGAACAGAATAACGACTTTTGTCGAATAATACTGCCATTTATAATCATATTACTTGCGTTGAAAATAATCGCAGTTGGCAGTTTTGCAACTTTTGAAAGAAAGAAAAATCGATTTAAGATGATGTATCTACTATGAGAAACTATTGCAGCAGATTTACATTTTAAATATATGAGTAACGTATTAAAATCGGTAACCTTTCTTTTATATTCTTAAATTATACACAGTTCCTGGATCCTTGTTGAATTAGAGTTCAAACAATGACTCTGAAATAGTTCTGAACAATTATAAACCATCTATTCTTGCCCAAACATGTAATTTTGCGAGTTATTCAAAAAAATATGCAAGTGATCTAAATAGTTTTGCGATATACAATAAAAATAGAAATGGTTTTTAATTGTCCACATTTATTTCAATATATTACAATACGAAACTGTATGAGTTAATGAAAATCTGGATAGAGGAAAATAAAAGCGTAACTTTCAAATTTGAAGAGTTTTCTCTAAATGTTGAAAAAATTATATGTACCCGAATTTCCTAAAAGTCAATATTATTTGATGAGAATACATTTTGTTGTTTGTGATGTTGTTATTATCAAAACATATATCGCCAAAAGGAAAATACCAAATGTGTAACTTGCTTTTTCTTCTTTTTCTCCACATTAAGGAAACCAGAAACTTCAATTGGCATAGTTTTTATTAGAAAGTTATTGCCTTAGCAGCTTGAGCAAATGCCATAGCTTGCTTGTATTGGACGCATATAACATGTTCGCATGTTGGACGAACTTCCATCTGCTTGGCAGTTTAATAAACAGACTCACCATATTCTGTGGTGGATATAACTACAATGGGCTAATTCTGTTTCATTCAAGTAAGTGTACACACTTTACTATTATTGAATTGCAGAAATTGCGCCAGTTTCTATTGCATTCTTTATAGAAAGACAGAAGTAAAACTTAATAATTACTTGATTACTGCTATTATCAAATAATTACGAGGTCCATTTTGTATGATAGTACATTTTATCTATTACTACCAAAATATTGATCCCAGCTAGGACTTTTTTGCATTTTTCAAATTTAAGCTATGTGCATTTAATATGCCGAAGATTGATTAGGTTTAATCATCTAGTAATGGAATATATATTCTTTCTTGTTCTGTAGTCATAAACGTTCATCACTGCAAGATTATGTACTGTAGTTTGTCGCATAATAAAAGTCGTAAAAATATTTTTACAGGGTGTGAAAACTATCCAAAAGAAAACAAAGATATTTCCAATATTAAACTGTGACATCGCAGATGATCGAAAAATTAACAATTTTAAATAAGGATATAAATTTTAGTAGAAATTAACAACAAGAACCTCCAAAATCAACAATGACAAATGGACGTAACTTTAATTGAATGGTCAATTAATAGCAAGTAATTTCAATGTTTTGATCGTCATATTAAAGCAATGAATGAGAAAAACTTTGAGCTTAGCGGCTATGGAAGTTTTTACAACGTTAGATAGATAGACAAATGTTATATGTATTCATGTCATAATGAGTATGGTAGTATTTCTAATAAAAAGTGAATGTGCAACTATCACATGCATTTCGAACATGAGAGAAATGGCACGGGCGATATATACGTTATTCACATATATATCTATATGCTATATCTATGTTATTACAATTTTTAAAATAAGAAAAGCTTCTAGGAGTCTCCATTTGAAATATAATCTATGTTATTCTTTATATAACAAATTTCAATGAGAATGTTAAATTATAATTGATTAGACGTATAAATGATGATAGGACTTAATTATTTATGAATTAGACATGTGTGAAATAGAAAGAAGGTTTGTTAACATTATGAAAGATAATGTGTTTGATTGAGATTAATTTGTGCTTAGGTGGATCATTGCTAATTTATTGCATTTATATGTGTAAAATTAGTGATAAGACTCGCACTTTTTCACGTGTATGTGATTCATGCAATTTTAATGCAAGAAAAGGAGTTACAAATGCAGTAGTATTGTTCCTTTCCCTGCATTTGTAAACTCCGTTTTCAATAGCTTGCACTATCACTTGAAAGTGATTCATTGAATTTCAATTCAAGAAAGAGTTTACAAATGGCAGACAGTATTGTTCCTTACCTGCATTGTGTAACTCCCTTTTTTGAATATCTTCATTTCGTTTAAATTACAAGTAAGATCCCACTTCTGTATAAACTCTCAAAATATCCTCAATTCCATATACAAATAAATAATAACCATTTTCATATATTTCTTAAATTTTCTCTAAATGGCCCTTATTTTCTTAAAAATTGTTATTTTTTCAATAATTTTTAACATTTTCGAATATTTTTGGAAATTTTATTTGTAATTTTGTGAAGAATTTAATTCGAACTCTATTATATAATAATATTATTCAAAAATTTGTGTACATTTTGTCAGTGTACGCTAAATTTTTAATTTTTTTAATCGATGTGTTGTTGATGCGGCTTACTGAAGATTGTCATCCCATAACAATATCCATTCCAACTTCTGCCTCCATCCGAGGCCAGAGCCACATTCATCTCATGCAAGTCTCGACTGGTCGGTCCCCATTAGGCACGATCGAGAGAACTTGGTCTTACATTAAATCAACAGCTCTGGCCATTGCTAAGCCGAGCTCGCAACCTCCTCGGGGCCGTTCCTCAAAGACCGCCTGTTGGCGGCGGGCGATGGAATCCAGCTCTAGAGTGCCCATTTACGAAGCTTCTGCCTGAGCATTGCCCACGGTCTTTCAAAAACATCTTCAGGCGTTTTGCGAATGATCGTCGATCATGTCGACGGTTGCCCAGAACTTCGGCACTTGAAAGACAATTACAGATAATGCTCTCCAGCAAAGGACAGGTTCGTTTAAATATCAAGGGCCGAGCTTTTCAATGCAGCCTATCGCGGGCCGCAGGAGCGAACCGGCTTGGGATTACAACCCCGAACTCTGACCTAGGCAAGCAGAGCTAAAATGCATCCTACAGGCGATTTGAGCGAGATCATTCACACATTCGAGATTTCTTCATTTCGGCCTGAAGAAAAACGAAATAACGGCCCCCCTGCATAGCAAAGCCACTTCGCTTTTATCATGGCCGCTTTTCCAATGCCGCACCATTGTGTCCAGGAGGCAGGAGCGAAACAGGCATTGATTTACCGAATACCAAGCCCGGCTCACTTACTGGGAGAGCCTGCAAGTAAATTTATCTGGCGAGTTTTCCGATGATACTATCCACATGATAGGAATTTCTGCAGAAACTCGGCCTGAACAGACGTATTATCCACCGTCTATGTCTCAGTAGAGGCCAGGCCTCGCTTACATTACTCAGGGCCGGTTTTCAAATGCGTCCTAATCTATGGGCAGCGAGAGGAATTCGGCCCTGGTAAGCTGAATACGAGGTCTGGCCTTATAAAGAGCCGATCTGCAAAGTAACTCCCGTTCTCTTAAGAATTTGATACAAGGAACAACAGAAAGCTAGAGGAAGCCCTTTTTAAGTTAAGACTTCTTCCTGGCTTTTGATATGGATGGTGAGTTGGCTATCATGCAAATCCTTCCAGAGATCAAATAGTAACCAAAGTCATAGGCAGTGTGTGTGTGTAAATTGCAGGGCCTACATGCGAGTGCCTTGGTAGCCGTGATTTGCAAGCGCACTCCCGCAGTGTTAGAGGAGTTGTGGGGTGTGTTCTGAATTGAGATGGGTGTGTTTCTCAAGGTCCAAAGTCCATTCGTAACTTCTGTGTATTTATTATTTAAATAACATTTTGACAGATACTTATTCTTTTTTCCCCGGGAATTCGCTTGTCATCAGTTATCATTTTCAGCTACATCTGTAATAATCTAAAACAGTATTATTTGAATCACGGATAAACACAATTAAGAATATTATTTACTAATTTTCCATATTAAAAAATTCAATGATATAAAGTTATCCCATAAACAATTTTATGTCTCATATATATATTATTAAATATCGCATAAATCCAATTAAATTTAATATATAAAGTGTATATCCATTGTCTTCTTTAAATATAACCATATCTAACGGTATGCATCATATGAATGATCAGCCTTTAAAAACACGTACATAGAAATTTTTTTAAAGAATTGACCAAAATTGAAATACTGCTTAATATTGACCAGTTCCAATTTAATTCGTCCCAAATAAAACTTCTCAAATGAAAAATATCTTATTTTTT